AAATCCTTCCTCTATATTGGAGGAATTAACTTGGCGCGAGGGAAAATAAACTGTAATTGAGAATCATTATCTACGAGCTTAAGAACACACACACACACACACACACACACACAACATCAACCCCCCATTTATTTCATTAGTGTAATTAAGATAACGTACGTACGAGACCAAAGTCATATCATATAACATGAAATAAGAGTGCTGATGGAGATAGATATAACTAGCCCCACCCCTACTTACAGGCACGACAAATTAAATCACAAAGTTTCACAAAACAATTTGAAAGAACGAAAATCTAAATCGAACACTTTATTTCTGGTGCATAATATTCCTACATACGCTTGGCATTTAGCTTCTAGCTCGCCCACTTGAACGTGGATCATCACTTGAGTAAATCTTGAAGCTGGTGACAAAAATTATCAATATAACTAGACTCAAAGTTGTTGCTGAGCAAGATGTTTCTGAGGTTAGCATGATTTGCTCTGATCTCTTTGGCAATCTCACTCTCTTTATTCATCACACTCCTCACTGCTTCACAGACACTTTCCTTTGTGAATAATCCATCTTCTTCTCCTTTCTTCACTTCAACCCCAGCTTTGAAGCGATCGCTTATCATCCTTGCATTGATGATTTGATCAAAAATGGCGGGTAATAGAACCAATTGACAATGGCTGAGCAATGCTTCTAACATTGAGCCTGAACCACAATGAGTAACGAAGCAGCCTACAGATGAGTGTTTTAATATTAACTGTTGCTGAACCCATCCTCCATGCACTATCCCTCTTCCTCTAACCCTTTCTTCAAATCCCTCTGGAAGACTTGCTTCTATTGATTCATATCCTTTTGGAGGTTTCACTGCTACCAAAAACGGCATCCCTATACCAGAGTTTAAAGGCAACGTTTTAATGGGATGGGAGAGATAACAGTAAATTTAAGGATGGGTTAATTACCCTCTCAATAAGTAATAAAAGTAATGAAGTTTCTGCTTCGTATTAGTTTATATCACCTTGTTGAAGCTTAAAAACGATGGCATACCTGAAAGCTCAAGACCCAAAATCAATTCTTGGAACTGACTAAGCTCCAACTTGAATTCGCTTCCAAATGCACAGTAAATAACAGAACCATGCTTGAATCCTGCAAGCCAGCGATCCCATTTTAGTTCTAAAGTAGTTGAGGTTTGTGGCTCTGGTATAACAGGTCCTGATAACAAAATGCGTCTCCTTGACACTTTTTCTAGATAGTCCACAAAAGGACCCTCCATTTCTCTACAGTTTTTGAACGCGACTGCGTCTGATGATTCTGCACCCCACTCAAGTCGATCAACGAAGCGAACGCCACTTCCAAACTCAAATCCCCTAAGTTTCTCTATGTATTTTTCCTCATGCATATGCAGCCTTATAGACAAATCAGGAAACGCAGATGGATTAATATTCCTTGCTGCCAGGCCTTTTGTAATTTCCCTGCATGTTAAAAAAGCTTTTGCTACTAAACCAGCAACGAAGTACTGAACCGACTTGATTCCCAATCTTCGAGCTAGATCTGGCAGCCAATGCGTGAAATCAAAGAAAACAATGTTGGGTTTTAGCTGGATCAAGAGGTCCTCCACTTGTTTCTTAGTACGGTCCATAGCAGTCATGAGGATGGGATGGTGAGATGGATCCACGTCTGAGGTTGTTTCTGCACCATGAGGAAGGCCTTCAACGTGAGGAACAGTGATGGGTATGAAGGAGATGAGATGAGGGTAAAGGTTCAAATGCTGTAATTTGGACTGTGTTCTTGTGGGGATGAAGATGGAGATTCTGTGACCTCTTTTGGCTAATTTGTTTGAGAGCTGAATACATGGGGTTATGTGGCCAATAGCTAGCCAGAGATACATTGCTATATGCATACGAGGTTCTTCCATGGCGTCTTTGTTTCTGAGAATCGTAGGTTTAGATCTCCTGTGGCTTGGTCAGGAATCATGTAGTTTATATCTGATGTCGTTACTTTTTTTTTTTTGGCCAGCTAAATCTAATGTCGTTACTAATAAACCGAGATTAAAAGATATTAAACCCGATGAAACTGAATCATCTTATAATGAAGTGTTAATACACTTATATTATACATACGTCGCAATAGAACAGGTGTGAGCGTATAATGACAGCCGTAACACACTAAGGAACTGGCCAACTTGTAAAAGTAGACACCACGTGTTTGGCTTTTTTTTTTTCTTTATTATTATATATCACTTTCCATCCTTGATATGTAAGATTGATTAATTTAGAAAAATTTAAAAAAGTTACTAAATTATTTTAAGATATTTATATATATAATTTTTTCTAAACTAATTTATTTTACCTATAAATTGATATATAATATAATAATATATATAAATATTTAAAAAAATCATGTAATATATATTATAATTTAGTAATTTTTGTAATCGTCTTGAATTAATTAACTAAATCTTACATTAAAGAATAAATTTAGTACATATAATAGAGTATTACTCTTGTTATTTATTTTTTTAATATCATTTTTATCAAAATATTGTTTATAATTAAATGTGAATATTTTTGTGAATTTCATTTAAATTTAATTTAATTTTATAAATCGTGTTGTCCTTCTTTCTTTTCCGCACCATTATTGTCCTGGATGTGCGTCGACTTTTGGTTTCGTTCTTTCGTGCTTGAGATTGGCTTGCCGCTGCTGGTTTATGTTTTTGCCTTTTTGGACGTTTGTTTGTTTTTGTTCGTTGGCCTGAACCAACTTAATAACTTTTTAATTTTATTTTTATTTAATATACATTATATTATATTATATTATATAAGAATAAAATTAATACAATAATAAATGAAAGATAAAATTTTATATTTATATAAAATATTTCTTGCTCTCCCCATTAATAAATAAAACCAAAATTTCTTTTTCATTTTGTCATATAAATAGGACCAAAAGAATATATTTTCTTCTTTCATTTTTCACAATTTATTGATAATATGTAACTATTATTTTACATCAATTTGGACTGATATTTAATATGGATAAGGGACTGGTTGCTCTCATAATTTTTTTATTGAATTCTTGGGCCTACATCTTCATCTATAATAATCAAAGCATGAAATGCTGGTAAAATAAAATAAAATCAAAGCATGAAAAATCAGATTGTTGGCATGAATAATATATGGGGAGAATTAAAATGAAGTCTCAATAAAAAAAATAATTACTAAAAAGTCTCAATGACAAGTAAGTAATTATCATTTGTTATTTTAAAACTTGTCATTGCAAGCTGTTTTGTTGCCATTAAAATTTTTTAATAATTATGTTTTTTTACTTAGAATTTCACAGTAATTTATCTAAAGTTGAATTAAAATTTGGAATTTCATTTGACTGTATAGAGTAGAGCATATATAGAATTCCAAGGGCCGTTATGTTTATTCATTTCCCAGATTCACTTTGTTGTAATTCCAAGTCCCTCTCACACAGTTTTCAATCAAAATCAAAATGAGGAGTTTAATTAACTTTTAAGGAACTAATATCATACTCTGATTATATGTTTAAACAGGAGTAATAAAAGCAGAAAATTAATAAATGTTGAAACTTTCTTTTTGCGAATAAATATGCTGAAACGTTCGTTTTGGGTGGCTGTTATGTGGAGGAAGTGCATAAAATTGTTACTATATATTTTTCTTATAAACAAAAACCTCCGTTGATGATACCTATCACTTCTTAATTTGCATTCATTTAATGTCGTTAACTTCTTTCTCTACGACCCTGATCTCTTGCATTTATATCTAAATTTATGGAGGAATTTATTAAGTTGGCGCCCAGTTAGGGAAAGGTAATTCAACTACTGTAACTGAGAACCGAATTTACAAACTTATTATTAGCATGCCCACTTGAACATGGATCATGATTTGACCAAAAAAAACAAAGAACATGGATCATGATTTAAGTAAATCTTGAAGCTCGTCACAAATGTTATCAATATAACAAGTCCCAAATTAAAGTTGTTAAAAGCAAAATATATAATTGGATCACGAACAAAGTTGATCTGGTTTATAAGAAATTGGCTCATGTTCTATAGGTCATCAAATCTCCTTGCCGATATGAGTAGGTGTTTTTGATAGGTGATTTATAAATAATTACTATCTCTTATTTTTAATATAAGATCTTGTTTGACTTTTATTTTAATCTTAAATACTACCTCCGGTCCTTAATATAAGATCTCGTTTGACTTTTATTTTGGACCTAATTATAAGATCTCAATTCACTTTGTCTCTCATATTTATGTATTTTTTTCAAAGTAATCTCTTTAATAATGGTAATTCTAACCAATAAACTTGATTAGTAAGGATATTTAGCAAAAACAACATCTATTTATTATAAATAACTAACTTAACTTACTTCCTTAATCTCCTCAAATTAGTCAACTAGCTTTTATAATTAGGACCGGAGGTAGTATAATATCTCAATCCACTTTATCTCTCATATTTATGCATTTTTTTCTCAAAGTAATTCTTCTAATAATGATAGTCTTAGCCAATACACTTGATTAGTAAGAATATTTTAGGAAAGACAACACATATTTATTTCAAATAACTAACTTAACTTATTTTCTCAATCTCTTAAAATTAATTAACTAGCTCTTATAATTAGGACCGGAGGTAGTATGTAATACTCTTTAAATCTAGAGACATATTCTGATTTTGATGAAGCTGAAATCTAACTTACTTAAACGCTTTCGTACAAAAAAATTGTATAGTTGGATCGGGAGAAAAAATAGTACCTACTTGAATATTTGCCTTGAACGAGATACTATTGATGATTTTTCTGTCTTGATGTCTTTATTATGGTTCGTCACTTCACACATTTAAAAGATTAAAAATGGGTAAAATAAGAAAACGGGACCAAAGTTATATCATGTGTCCGACTCATGAAAGAAGACAACAAAAGTGCTGATGGACGTGTAGATAAAACCAACCCCAGCTTATACGCACGACAAAACACTAAAGTTTCGCATAACAATTTTATTTTATTTATTCTCTTGGCTAAGGCATAACAATTTTATAAAGAACGAAAATCTAAACCAAACACTTCCATTCACGGTCCATAAAATATTCATATGCATACGCTTGGCCTTGGCGTTTAGCTGGTAGCTTGCTCACTTGAACATGGATCATCATTTGAGTAAACCTTGAAGCTGTTGACAAAAATTATCAATATAACTAGACTCGAAGTTGTTGCTGAGCAAGATGTTTCTGAATTTAGCATGATTTGCTCTGATCTCTTTACCAATCTCACTCTCTTCATTCATCACACTCGTCACTGCTTCACAGACACTTTCCTTTGTGAAGAACCCATCTTCTTCTCCTTTCTTCACTTCAACCCCAGCTTTGAGGTGTTCGCTTATCATCCTTGCATTGATGATTTGGTCAAAAATGGTGGGTAATAGAACCAATTGACAATGGCTGAGCAGTGCTTCCAACATTGAGCCTGAACCACAATGAGTAACGAAGCAGCCTACAGATGAGTGTTTTAATATTAACTGTTGCTGAACCCATCCTCCATGCACTATCCCTCTTCCTCTAACCCTTTCTTCAAATCCCTCTGGAAGACTTGCTTCTACTGATTCATATCCTCTTGGAGCTTTCGCAGCTACCAAAAAAGGCATCCCTATACCAGAGTTTAAAGTTAGGGTTTTAATGGGACGGATGAGAAAAAACTGTAAACTTAGATGGTTGGGTTGAAGGGAAGTTAAATCTCTCAAATAAGTAATTGAAAGTAATGAAGTTTCTGCTACTTAATTATTCTAATTAGTTTATATTACCCTGTTGAAGTTTAAAAATGATGGCATACCTGAGAGCTCAAGACCCAAAATCAATTCTTGGAACTGACTAAGCTCTAATTTGCATTCGCTTCCAAATGCACAGTAAATCACAGAACCATGCTTGAATCCTGCAAGCCAGTGATCCCATTTTGGCTCTAAAGTTGAGGTGAGTGGTTCTGGTATAACAGGTCCTGATAGCAAAATGCGTTTCCCCGACACTTTTTCTAGGTAGTCCACAAAAGGACCCTCCATTTCTCTACAGTTTTTGAACGCTAGTGCGTCTGATGAGCTTGTACCCCAGTCAATTCGATCATTGAAGCGAACGCCACTTCCAAACTCGAATCCCTTGAGCTTCTCCATGTATTTTTCCTCATGCATATCAAGCCTTATATCAGGGAAACCAGATTGATTATTCCTTGCTTGCAGGCCTTGTGTTTCTCTGTATATTAACAAAGCTTTAGCTACTAAACCAGTAACCCCGTACTGAACGGACTTGATTCCCAATCTTCGAGCTAGATCTGGCAGCCAATATGTGAAATCAAAGAAAACGATGTTGGGTTTTAGCTGAATCAAGAGATCCTCCACTTGTTTCTCAGTACGGTCCATAGCAGTCATAAGGATGGGATGGTGAGATCGATCCACGTCTGAGGTTGTTTCTGCACCATGAGGAAGGCCTTCAACGTGAGGAACAGTGATGGGTATGAAGGTGATGAGATGAGGATGAAGATTCAAATGCTGTAATTTGGATTGTGTTCTCGTGGGGATGAAAATGGAGATTCTGTGACCTCTTTTGGCTAATTTGTTTGAGAGCTGAATACATGGGGTTATGTGGCCAATAGCTAGCCAGAGATACATTGCTATGTGCATACGAGGTTCTTCCATGGCGTCTTCAGCTAGGTTCTGAGAATCACAGGTTTAGAAATGTCTTGTGACTTAAAACAGGAATGATATAGTTTTATATATAATGTCATGATATACTTTTACTTTAACAGAATCTATTGCATTTATTCAAATTAAAGTTGCTTGATTGATATGAACGTAATAAGTATATAAATTGAAAAATAACCTAAGGATTGGGGTAGGTAATCCAACTCTTGTTAAAGTTGGTGTCTTTGAAGTTGTTGAAATTAAAAATAGCTTTAGCTTAGAGGCATTGAATTAAAAACTGGATCGGATCGTCCCGTCGTTCCGAAAGAGACGACCTAGTCACATGCCCAGTTTGCAGAGGGAGGACTTGAACGTTCGTTGTCGCAAACTACGAGGGAGAGACTAAACATGTGGAGAGATTCAAGTGGCTGGTGCCTGGTAGCTTATTATTTAATTTATTTTTTCTTTTTTGTTTTCTAAAACTTGCATGTGAGTCTTATGCAAATATAATAAAATATTCTTTCTTGTACTGTACCCAAAAAAATATTCAAATTGCATAATACATATTCCCATGTTAAAATATACTCCATTCGTTCCTTATTATAACAGACGAATAACTGAATTACGTTGATAAAAAAACAGTTAAAATTAGTTAAAAACAATCAATGTGTAAAAAGCATAATTTTCTTTCCAAAAATGCCCTCATTAATAAGGAGAGAGAACATGAGAGAGAACAATTAAATTATTAAAAGAAAGAGAAGTGGGAGGGAGAGAGAGTGTGAGTTGGAGACAATAAATCTAGGTAAAATAGGAAATCAACACAAAAAAGTAGAGACAACTTTTAAGTGTCTCTTATATATAGGAACATATCATAAGCATTAAATGTCTCTTATAATAAGGAACGGAGGGAGTATTAATTATATATAAATATTAAAATATATATAAAATTTGAAGACCACGAGAAGAAGAGAAACCCACTTGTTCCTTATAGGATATTTTTAATATTATTTTTATTAAAATATTTTTTATAAATTTTATTTAAATTCTATTTATAAATCATGATCGATCCGACTATGAATTGATCCAATCAAACCTATTAACACTTGACCTGTTGTATCGATTGGTTTAATAACAGGTCTAATTTTCAACGTCTTATTACTTAAAAGCGAGGTACCTTTATTTTATATTATATTATATATATTAATTTGAAAAACCTTTATACAAGGCATCTTTTAGAAAAGTTTTACGTTATCTAAAATGAGAGAATTACAATGCATCCAAAAAAATAAAAATAATTATAAAATAAGTCTCAAAAGTTATCATTGTCTATTTTAAAACCTGTTATTACAGACTTCTTAGATAGTTATTGGGACTTGTTAGTAATTATTTTTTTGTTTGAGACTTGACTGTAATTCTCCCATCTAAAATATGTAACATACACATCAGTTAAAAATTACAAAGGCATAAACATACAAAGGCACAAACCACAACGTTCCCCGAGCTAGCCAAAACAGTTTTATCTATGGGAGAGAACGAAAATCTAAAAATCAAACAACTTTTTTGTTATTTGAATAAGAGTATTCCAGGACTTTTATTTCTCCCACCAATAAGTATGCTTTTGAATATTTAAATTTATGTTCTTCTCTTTACCAAATCAAGTTACTTACGACAACCAACAACTTGGTGGTGAAAGGAAAAAACACAAACAATTTGTCTGCGTACGCTCATTTGTCATTAGCAAGTTATCGCTTAATTAGACTCGTTTCTTTTAGATTCTTCTTCTATCCTCTCGAGCATTCTATTTGAATTTAATTTATTGAAGGAATTAACTTGGCACGAAGCGAGGGAAAATAAACTGTAATTGAGAATCATCATCTGCAAGTTTAAGTGTGTTTACCCACATCAATCACCCCCCACCCATTTGATCATTTGTGTGTGTGTGTGTTTGTGAATGATGAACTGATAATTATATTTAGAATTTATTTTTCATACATTTGTGTCAAATACTCATCCCAATTATTTTACCTTAGGACATCGAGTGTTAAAAAAATGTCAAGATGTTAGATGTTACTTACTCAAATTATTTTACTCACTTAATTTATTTGTTTTATTTTTTTGATTTTTTTATTGAAATACAAATATTTCTTTAATTTTATAAAATGCATCTACTGAGGATGATCATTGATATTAATTTATTATTAAAATAATTAGCCTTTCTACCATTTCAGCATCTCAGGCCCTTGTTCAGTCACTTGACCCTTTCTTTCACAGCACACGACGTCGTCTCTGGATAGCGGACAGGCAGTGGTGGAGAAACAGCAGAGGAGAGAAGCTGAATCTGAAGTTCAAGCCTCTAATATTTAAAGTTTTCAAGGAAGTTGGATTCGGTTATTCTAAATTATTTATCAAATTCACACTCTAGTCGCATATAATAATGTGTTTTTCAACTACATCCTTAAACATCGGTATATATTCATGTCAATTTTTACATATAAAAATAATATGAAACCTTGTATTTCTGTTTTCTTAATGGGTTAAGGTACAATTTTGACCCTGACCTCATGTCTCAGATGTGATTTTACCCCTAATCTTATTTCTTAATTAGATATAGTTTTGTCCCTAGTCTTTTTTTCTTGAGTACAATTTTACCTCCAATCTTTAGGTACAATTTTGAACCTGAGAGTAAAATTGCACACAAAAAAGAAAAAGGATTATGGTTAAAATGGCACCACTAAAAAGATCAAGGGTAAAATTGCATCTGAGAAATAAGATTGGGGTTAAAATTATACCTTAATCTTTTCTCAATACATTAAAAAGTTTGTACTCCTGACCTCTACTTATATCACACTTCATCCGTATCCGTTATCACCTAACATCAGACATTTCAATCCACAGGGGAAAAAAGTTTTATGAAACTCCATGTAATTTAGCTCTTTTAAATTGATTATCCAAAACATTTTTCTTCTGACTTTCTCTAATATCAAAGAAAAGGTTAAGATACATCCAGCAGTTCGAAGTATTTTTTTAGATGTATCCAGTATTTTAAAGTATTTTTCAGGCGTGTCTAACACCCTGAAGTATTATTTTTATTTTTTTTTACCTTGGTGCATCTTAGCACCAAAAAAATATTTTTGAATACTAGACGCACCTTCAAAAAATACTTTAGGATACTGGATATGTCAAAAAATATGTCAAAGTACTAGACACACTTAAAAAAATGTTTTAGAATGCTGAAAACACCACAAAATACTTTAGAATGCTAAATGCACCTAAAAAAATATTTCAAGGTAATGGATACACTTAAGCCCTAAGGAACAACTAATTACTTCCAGCATATATCAAGCTAGGACTCTAACCTATATTTGTATTTACAAACATATTAAACATTTTGATGAAATTAAAAATATCATTTTGATCTCCGATGCATGGGTTTTCATCACAACAATTACAACCAACCAAGTCTTAAAAAGTTAATTCTAAATTGCACCACTTTATTCAAGTTGAATTAAATACTCTTCTGATTTTTAATATAAGATGTATTTAATTAATTTTATTAGATTAATGAAGTTAGATAATTTAATTAATTATAAAAAAAATATGACATGTTTTTTCTAAAATACCATAATCATCTTTCTTAATCTCCTTCTTCCCTCACTTCCCTAATTGTGGTTGAGAGAATATCGATAGGAGCAATTTAGAAAAAATTGATAAATATGATAAATAGGTCTTATATTTAGGACCAAAATTAACTTAATAATTAGGTCCTATATTAAGGACTGAAGGAGTAATATAGTACTAAGTCAAGTTCTTAATATAAGAACTAATTAATTAATTTAAGTAGATTAAAAAAATTAGTTAAGTTAGTTATTTATAATAAATAAGTGTTACCTTTCCTAAAATATCTTTGTTAATTATGTATATTAATTAAGATTACTATTTGATGAAATATTTAACATGTGCAACTACTACAATGACTATCTTGAAAAACAATGAATAAATATGACAGGCAAAGTAAATTGAAATCTTATATTTAAGATCAAATTAAATGTTAAGGAGGAGGTAGCATGATGCTAAATTTTAGTATTTATACAGTCACGCCTCCAAGCTTAAACAAATTACCCAAAAAAGGATCGGACAGAGTCTGCATCTCATCCCTTCAATAACACAACTTAAAAGTCTTAAATTACCTTCGTCCACATCAATCTTCCTCAGAATCCAGAGACATCGATCTCCTGATGTGGATTTATGTCTCTACACCCTATTTTTATTACTAATGTAATCAAATTCTTTTTAGTGATGAGATGTGTCACGAATCAGAATATTGATTATTATCAATAAATCAGTTCAGACATGAACGAAGTGATCGTTATCATGTCATCATTCCAGTTATTCTTATATACGTAGAAACCTCAACATTTGAACGAAATAAGAATAGGAATAGCTCAGAATTTTCGGCAAATATATACAGTGCTTCCGGTGGAGCTGAATTTGATAGGGGACAAAAATTGTTCCTTTCAACTCAGGGTGCCATTAAATACTATCCCGGTCTTTGGCTAAATAATTAATTTATGAATATTAACAAAACTAGTTAAGTTAATTATTTGTAATAAATGCATGTTGGTTTTCTTACAATATTTTTTCTGATAATGTGTGTTGTAACTACTTTTTAATGGGAACTCTTTTTTTATGTGCAATTAATGGGAATATTTTAGATTAAAAAAATTATAAATTTAAGAGACAAGATATATTGAGGTATTATATTTATGATCAAAATAATCCTTTATTAGTTTTTATATTTAGGAGTGGGGGCAGCATTTGGCCAGCAGCGCTCTAAAAAAAAGGGATAAAGTTGAAGAATCCATCTACACTCCACGAATGTGATTCCTTCGTCATTTCCCTGGCTTGCATTTCTCTGTAGCGGCCACCCACCAGCTGAGAGCATCTTGAAAATGGATGAAGAATCAAACTTTGCATCAGAATAACATATAAAGAAGCTAGGAAAATCATGACAAATATATATTCTTGATGACAGCGGAAATAATAAACAAAGCCAAGGAACCCCCAAAGTTGAAAAACAAGGCCACATTTACATCTACTGGAGGAAAAATACTTTAGATGCCCAGGAGGAGGAAAGCGAAATAATGAGAAGAACCAATAATTCTGCTCTCTCACCTGAGTCTCGCAGAACGGGTGTTAGAGCCTCTGCTCACGATACTCCCACCAATAGGCACTCTATCGAGGCGCTTGCGAGTCCTTCTAGACTTACCACTCCTGTAAGTTCCATAATTCCATCTTCTATTTGTGGGCTTGGAGCTCATGTGTTGAGGGAAACTGTACTTAGAAAAGATTATTCAAAAATTTGGACTGTGAGATGTGTGAAATATGACACTTCTCTTTGAAGTAATATTTTCTCCACTATTGCTGCTGGGTTAAGACAGAGAAACTTACATCCAGCAGCTATAAAAGCAGGGTCTTGTTAAATCATGTTCATAGTATCAGGATGTTGAATTATCATTGTTGTAGACACTGAAATACTTTTATATTGGTTATTTTCAGCCTCAGATGACACCAAGTCCACTGAATCCTCTGGGGTATATGGCAGATAGAAGGCAAGCAGGGCTCTACAGCATACCTGAGTAATGCCAGACTTCACAGACTTACAAACTCAGTAATAGCAAATGTGAAATGCAAATGAGATTATTAGAGAATGAATTTTCTTCATTAAATATTTACTTAGCAGAACAAAATAGACCACTTTACATGTGAGAAGAAAATGGTATATGACTAGTTATGAATAGTCTGCAAATGCCTGTCAGTGGAAGAAGATGATGTTTTAGGGTTATCTAATCATGCGATGATTAGTAATACAGAGTATTATATTGTAAATTGATGACAGAGAAAAGAATTGAGGAAAAATGATTGATTGCCGAAGCAATTGTTAAGAGCTACAAGGCTTTGACAGAATTGTTATCTTTATAATAACTATTTTAAACAATTCATTACTAAATGACAATTAGTACATACTAAATCATACTAAAAGGAATGTAGTATATAGATGCATGTATCGATTGTTATGAAATTTGTGGTGTTAGCACTAAATTTGGATTTTTCTCCAGAAGGGACTCTTACGAGGTGCCCGTGTCCTACCAAGATTTTTCAAGACCTGCCACTTATGTATGTACAATATTCTTTCTTGACTTGGTACAATTTTTTTTTTGTGTCAAGGTAATATTTGCCCACTGACTGCTGCTAGGTTAAGATAAAATATCCATTACTCATATAATATTTATTTTTAAGAACCAAAACGTTAAGTAATAAAAAGAAATCTTGTTGAATCATGTTCATAGCTTCAGAAAGTTGAATTATTATTGTCGTAAAGCTAAGATATTTCTACCAGGTTCAGACGACTCCAAGTCCACAGAATCCTCCGTGGTACCCAGCTGATAGAAGGCATGCGGGACACTACAGCATACCTGAGTAAGACCACAACTCAAACTTACAAGCTCAAGTAAATGGGATTGCTAGAGCATGAATTTTCTTCTCTTATTTAAGTAGAAGCCGTGTGGAACAAAATAGATCATTTTACATGTAAGAAGAAATAACTGGTCTGTTTCGTGTTTTATCGAAATCATATACTTGTTAAATTGTATGATTAACAAAATTAGAAGATAAATCAAAAGCTTACAGGCCCAACCTAAATAGCTTAAACTACTTTGGCATATAAGACAAGACTCCAACAAAGATAACATAGAGAAATATAGATGATTTTATTTGTCAATTACTGTTCAATTTGTATGAAGTTTAGACCATTAAACTTGGGAATTTTCTTCTGTAGTGACTCTTATGAGGTGCCAGTGTTCTACCGATCTTCTTCAAGACAAGCCAGTCCTGTAAGTACAATCTTTTTTCTTGGCTTCTTAGAACTTCAAACGTTGAGGAAAATTACAAGGTAATAAAGAATTAGTCAGAAATCCAGACCTCGAAACATTTGAATATCACACTGTTCTTTGAAGATAATAAGCGTTTGCCCCACTTATTGAAGCCGATTTAAGACAAAATATCCATAGCCCAGAGATTTATCTAAGCACCGAGAAAACTACATTCAGCAATGATAAAAGCAGAGTCTTGCTAAATCAATGTTAATTGTATCAGAAAGTTGAGCTATCATCGGTGGAGACGCTAACACATTTGTACTTTTTTTTGCCAGTATTTTCAGGACGAGAGAACATCAAATGTAGTCAATTATCCACGATTTCTGGAAGACAGGTTACACTTACAATGTTCCTTCTTTGTATAGACGACGTACACTAGTTCTAAATTTCATATTAATATGTTATTTAGTTGCATTCACTTGTGAATTTGAAGCTAGACGGGAGAACCAAAAAAGCCCAGATTGATTCACTAACCTTGAAGCAATTTACAGTTTTCCAGCACAACCGCGCATTCGAGGTACAGGAATGGGATTTAACCCCAGGCTCAGAGAAACTCGCCAGCCATCAGTTCCACCTCGAAGATACGCACGCCAATCAGACACACAAGCTCCAACTTCGCTAGAAAATCCCAGATCTAGAGCATTGAGCAAGCTGAAGAAAGAAATCTACCAACCCACTATTTCAACTTCAAAAACTCTAGCGAAGAAATTGAGCTTCTATTACAGAGACCCTAAAGGTGTGAATGCGTTAAAGGAGATCGAGAACACGGAAAGAACGAGAAGGGAAAGAGTTGTGCGGTGTGCTTAGAGGATTTCGTGCCGAAACAGGAGGTAATGGTGACGCCTTGCAAGCACATGTTTCATGAGGATTGTATAATGCCATGGCTGAGAAGCCAAGGTCAGTGTCCAATCTGTAGATTTGTGATCTGCGAAAAAGAGAGGGAGAATCCATTGCCGCTGAACGACGACGATGTTGGCACCAATTACCTAATAGCAGGGGAGCTTCTGTCTATTGCGAGGGCCATGGAAGAAGCCTTCCTATTGCGTCCGGAACCTCACTGATTTGCCGACTTTTGTAAACAAACAATTTATACTGGATATGGATATATGATTTATGACCCAACCAGGTTTTCGGCCTTCGGGTTCGGATGGATTCATGCGATAGATAAAAATTCTGCACTGAAATTTTCTCCAAAGCTTTGAGCAAAAGCTCTGTAACTTGCGTAGAAATCTAATCCTTGCGTGGCCTTTGCATCACAATAACATTCTTAAGCTACGAAGCGCCATCTGTAGATCCAAAGCTAATGCATTTGCATACATGCTCGCTCTTAGTTCAGTGATACTGCATGCTTAACACGTCAAGCTTCATGCATAGCCCTGAGACGTGATTCTTGTTATTTTTTACAGACATGATCAGGCTAGGTTTTGGCTTGAATGATAACCTTTTCGTAATGAAGTTGCATGTGGGCTTCAGGCCAATATAAATAAATTAAAATATATATATATGTATATATATTTCTGTGTGGGCACGGGCATGAATACAGATAATTTCATGCTCTTTAAAAAAGTCTTCTAGAATAAATGGGATTTACCGGCCAAAAAAAAGGGGATTTTAACAGCTTGGTACGATTCTTGAGCTCAAGTTCATGTGGATGTAAAAATCATTTTTGGGAGAGCTATCTTCAGCTAGATCTGACAATGTTCAATTTTTTTTTTTAACATTTTCAAATAATTTAAAAGTTTGACTAAATATAAATTGTTAAATTTGAATTACAAAATTTCAGGTTTTAATTTTAAATATGAATATTCAGAGATTTCTTTATGTTTAATTTTTTTAATCTGAGATTTACGGGTTATTTTTCTGGCTTTTAATGCGCATAATGCAATATAAGTATATTTATCTCACAATGTAATATAAATAAAATAACCAAAAGAAACCTGCTATGTTTGTCACATGGCATGATGACATCCGTTAGATGAAGTAAAAGGCTATGATTTAAATTTAATTGACCAAATCGGCGCCTTTGGGCAGTAAACCCATTCGCGCGTAGGTTCTCTGCTGGTGGCGGCAGCTCCGCTGTACTCAATAGGAGAGGCCCGAACTTGGCCCAGCAAGCGCATTTGTGTTTAGCAACGCCGCAAGCGAGGCAGCTACTGGGAAAGTTTGGGTGTGAAATCGTCCCTCTAGAATCTTGTGGCAATGTCCAAACCTGTTCCGGTTGCTTTGGGCTGCGAACCAGTCGTGGGTTCCTTGACATCTTCGAGGAAGAGGGACTACAAGGTCACGAATCGCCTCCAAGAGGGCAAGCGCCCTTTATACGCCGTCGTTTTCAACTTCATTGACTCCTGCTACTTCAACGTTTTTGCTACCGTCGGTGGCAATAGGGTTTGTGCTCTTTCTCTGTTTTGTTTCGGAGAAGATGTTCAGAAAATGTGATTAATTGTTTGTGCGTTTTTTGTTTTTTGCCTTTCAAAATTTGAGCCTTTTCAGTTCGTATTTGCATATTTCGCTTGTTTGATGTTTACATTGGCTTTGGTTAGCATTAGTAGCATGTGGTGGATGAATTCATTTACTTTTAATGATATTTATTTAGTTTTCATCTAAACTGTGGAATTCATTGACAATTCAAAGTTATCTTAGATGGAGCTTGGATTTTCTCTTTCTCATCTGTCTCTGTAGTGGCTTTTAGTCTTCCATGTAGAATCGCTCGGTCAGTTCTGGTCATGGATTTTGCCCTTAGCTATCGTGCAGTCATTTCGTAATTAAGGGGAAAATGTGGGAACACTATGGGCTATAAAGCTCGCTAGATTATTTACCCGATGCTGGAGAGTGGATGCTTGTTGATGGCTTGGATTGATTGATTACGTTGAGGGTGTAGATAGCATTGTTGGGAAAAGAAAATTACAAAGAAATGTTTCATATAGCAATATCTATGCATACGCTTTGGTTGCATCTTAGAGCTGTAATCATGCATTTCTAAGTGAAAGCAGGTGAAATTGATTAGAGTTTGGCTTTTCAGATGCTAGGTCTTCTATAGTGGTGCTTTACTGCTATGCCATTTACGTTCTGCTTATATTCTCTGATATTATACAAATTGGAACTTATTTATTTGATTTATTTTAAATGTGTTGACATAACACAAGTGGAACTAGTTTCTTGTCTCTTTCTATTTAGTTAATGGTCAATCTTTTACTAGAGAAAAAGTGGTAATAATCTGCTTTCTTTAATCACAGGTTACTGTTTATCAATGTCTTGAAGGAGGAGTTATAGCTGTTTTGCAGTCATACGTTGATGAGGATGTAAGTGAAGATTGCCGTCTGCTGTTCTCTACTCAAATGTTAATAAGTTTTTGTGGAAGATTGATGCAATTTTAATTTGTTTTGTAGACCAGAAGGATGAGTCTTTTTACACTGTAAGTTGGGCATGTAACATTGATGGGACCCCATATGTAGTTGCTGGGGGATTCAATGGTATAATCCGAGTAATTGATGCTGGCAGTGAGAAGATACACAAGGTATTGTGAGACATTCTATTATTCTTCCTCTTCTTACTATAGTTGACTGAACTCATTTTCATGATAATATTGATGGAATTTGGTCTGTCTTCTTACTTTCCCAGACATGATACCGTTATTTTTTGCAGAGTTTTGTTGGCCATGGGGACTCCATAAATGAAATCAGGACTCAGCCATTGAAGCCATCACTTGTGGTGTCTGCAAGCAAAGTAAATAGAATGACCTTTCTTTAGTTAACTGATTTAAGTATTATTTATCTTTTCTCACAATAATGTCAAACGTTGACTAGGATGAGTCTGTTCGATTATGGAATGTACATACGGGAATATGTATTTTGATATTTGCCGGTGCTGGAGGTCATCGCAATGAAGTTCTGAGTGTAGTAAGTATATTGTGCAAAGAATGTGTGGTTGACAACTTGGGATGTTACCAGTACTGACAATATTTGGTTATTGTAGGACTTTCATCCATCAGACATATATCGAATTGCAAGTTGTGGCATGGACAATACTGTGAAGATTTGGTCAATGAAGGGTATAATTCAAATTTAGCTCTTTGTTAGTTTTTTCTAGGTTGATTTTGTATGTCCTGATGTCATGTACGCCACTTTAACTTTTATTTTTGGCCCATATTGCACCGCATGGCATAATGAAAAATATGAATTTTCTAATCAAGGGAAGCCTAAGGAACAAATTATTCTGGAAAAGAGTGAGAATATCTTTATTTTTCCTCACAAATAGATGTTGGATGATATTTTAGCTTTTGCAATTCTGAATGTGACCATCTCAGCCTAATTATCTAGTAATTTGATAATGATGTAACTTCAGTATAGCATGAACTTTATCATAAATTTTATGATACAGCTTTACTGAGATTGTGATATGTCAATATGCTGTTTTTCCGTCATGCCATCTACTTTATGTTGCTGCAGAGTTCTGGACTTATGTAGAGAAATCATTTACGTGGACAGATCTTCCTTCTAAGTTCCCCACAAAATATGTGCAATTTCCCGTAAGTAAAAATTTATTCATGTTACAGATCAAAATCTATTATAACTGTATCCAATTTCAGGTGTTCATTGCTTCGGTTCATACAAATTACGTTGACTGTAATAGGTGGCTTGGTGATTTTATCCTCTCAAAGGTAAGGGATTGCACATATAAGCGTCAGTACATTCTTTAACAGGAGGAATTTTGAGTGTGTTTGGCTGTGGGGAGAAACTATGGTCTAGCTGAAGCTAATGTGACTTGGCAGCCTTTGGCTAAATCTGTTATAAAAGTTGTTTCCCAGCCTCCGCATATTTTTTAGTTAATTCCCAAAGTGATGGATTGTAATGATTCCAGAGTGTTGACAACGAAATTGTCTTGTGGGAACCTAAAGTAAAGGAACAGACTCCAGGGGAGGTTTGAGTTATTCTTTTCTGCACTGTCGAGGTCTAATTTTTGTTAGTTTTAGTAAATGTCAGGTGACATGATTCAGTTTCTGAATCAAGTTTCTGTTCTTTTCTTGGGCCTTGGTTAGGGTGTAGCTGACATCCTTCAGAAATACCCAGTTCCTGAGTGTGATATATGGTTCATCAAGTTTTCTTGCGATTTCCATTACAATGCAGCTGCGATTGGTAAGAGTTGCATAATCAATTGCAATTTCTGTTTCATATACTTTCGTTTCATCGTCTATGGCTTTTACCAGTCCTATGGCGTGGAACTATTTTTATGCTGTGCTTTGCCAATGAGGGATTAGTTACATGACTGCTAGCCATTCCCCCCCTTGGGTGGCAAGTTTTTAATTTCATGCTTTTACTGTAATTGCATATGAAGGTATTTTGCCCTTTTTGCGTATCAGGGAACAGGGAAGGGAAGATTTTTGTTTGGGAATTGCAGTCAAGCCCTCCTGTTCTCGTTGCAAGGTCTGTTTCAATTCATTCAGTTAGGCTTGTAGTAGTGAATCTTATATGATAAATTATTCATATGCTTCCACTTGACCGATTAAAGGCCTATTTGGAGTAGCTTATAAGCAATCTTATATGATAAATTATTCATATGCTTCTGCTTGACCAATCAAGAGCTCGTTTGGAATAGCTTATAAGCAATTTTTTAATAGTGATTTATGGAATACAAGGTAAGTATGTGAAATGAGTTTTGTCTTGGTTTATATGAAATGTGCTTATAAGTGTTTTTAATTGTTATCCCAAACCTAAGTTTTCTAGTTACATTAATATTTGAAAGCACAACCTTTATAACTAAGTGATCAGGGGTGAGAATCTTGTTACCCATCATCGTCTTGATTAAAAGTAAGTTTAAACACAAGTCATGAGATGATGCTTTTTGCGCACTTGAAGCGAAAAAAAACTTTCAAATGAGAGGGCGTCCTTAAAATCATAATAAAACCGTCCGTTGGCTTTACTTAACAGCTTGAGCTTTTAAAGTGAATTGGTCGGTGATAAATCTTGACAAAATTTATTTCGTTTCACTTTTTTTTTTAGGTTGTCTCATGCTCAATCAAAATCGCCTATTAGACAAACTGCTATGTCTTATGATGGAAGGTAAACCTTCACACCCACACACAATTTTGGTGCAATTTTCCTTTAACAGACGCACGCACGCACAAAATTTTGGTTCAGTATGCCCTCCCCCCCCCCCCCCCCACATTTTTTGATTGAAAAGCCATCCTCTTGTGTTGTAGCACTATTTTGAGCTGCTGTGAAGATGGGACTATATGGCGTTGGGATGCTGTCGCGAATTCCGCAACCTAGCTGGTATTCACATGATCCAATCTTGTGAGCTCCATAAGAGCTTTAATTTGAAGCAGATTTGGTATGACCAATCACTGACACGAGGAACATAGGTTACTTTGCCTTTACACAGTAATTATATGTTAATGCTGATTTAGTTGTATGTCATATTGCGACACTTAATTGAGTTTGTGTTGTAACCTTTTCTGTGACTGGAGTGATATCAGGATAGAGTTAGATACTTAGATGTGGTTGCTGGTGGTTGGGATGCTGGCAATTTTTCTTGTTATGCATGCTAAACATGGCTCTACATGCCTTCCTGTTAACGTTGATCACCATCGGATCAATGAATAGCATGTTGCATATGGAAAGTTTACGGTCAGCATATTTTACCGTTGAAAATGAATTTGATGGATGCCTTTAATCATGGTATTTAAGCTTGAGTAATCAGTCCCCAAAATGGAAATATTCATATGGCAATGGAAAATGAGGAAAATTGTAAAACGGTAGAAAGGATTCTTATAAACGAAAATATTTGGGGTTACAAATTGAGTGATTTGCTATGGATGATGAAACAATAACACGAGGAATAGCCCTTCTATGGCCACTTTAGAAGAATTATAACTGTTTGAGAATGAAATCGTTGGCTCAAGTTTGTATGAATGCGAAAGAGATTTGAGAGCGTTGTCTCGTTTTAGTCCAGTGTTGAAATTTGTTCTAATAGAACAAGTAACAAAGCAACTTTGTTGTCTACTGCCAATTATCACCCCTCAATTCAAATTTGCTTGTTACACTAAGTGTTAAAGTGTGGGTGTTTTGTATCCATCGAGTAAAAATGGGTTTTAATTGTATAGTAGAATTGGAAGACATCTTAACCATGTGTTTCCGTTTCCGTTGACTCTAGGAATTAACCAAAAAAAAGGGTTTTAAAAAAAAAAATAATAAGATAACCAAGGATTGTTTGGTATTTTGAGAAACTATTTTTATTTTCATTTGAAAATAAAATATTTATTATTCTCAACCATGTCTCTGTTTCTGTTGACGTTAGGGATGACATGCCTCAAGTCATGAATAGAGATTCCGTATTTTAGGATTTGACTATTACTCCTCTAATCTTACTTATAAAGCAAAGAAAAAAGATATTTTTTAGTTCTATTTATATAGTAAGAGAAATTTTTTGTATGGATATACATCTTTACCTCTCATTTATTATTATGTTGATTTTATTTACATGAGATATAATATATATTAAATAGAGACAAAGTTAAAAAGTTAAATTTCAAATGAGAATTAATAAAGTTTAAAGTTTTTTTTTGTCTGTGTAAAACATGCTGAAAATGACTTATAAATAAGATCAGAAGAGCACATCACAAGAACACATCAAGTTCAAGACAACCTTATTGTGCTGCCGCGGCTAAAAACACTCCCCAGAAAAATAAAAAAAACAAAAAAAAAGTTGCAGGATTCAAATCTCAATGACTCCTCTTGATGATATCTCATTATACCTAAAATTATTTTGGCAAAAAATCGGCATGTTATTTGACTGTCACCGTTTGGAGTGCCAAAATGAAAAAGCGCGACAATCTGCAATTTTAGATTATAACTTTTCTTCATTCCATGATGCAAGACCCGAACAAAATTTTTATGTTACACCGATGACGAACTTCAACCTCAGCCTAACTTGTACAACACTCAGCAAATGGACTTGTATGCTATATACGAAAGAATGATAACCTATGGCAATGGGTGATCTAGTTGTGATACTCCTAAAGTTGATTCTGCAATTGCATCAATAGATTCTGCATAGTCTCAATCTTTTGACGGACCTCATTCACAACAGCAAGATGCTGACTGGAAGTCTCTGAAGTACCAACTTCCGTAATTAAAGCATCAAGTTTGGCCTGTGAATCCATGACTGCTTCCTCAAGCAAATCTAAAGTTCGTTTCTTTGACCTGTTTGGACTTTCACTGATGGGGCTTGACAATGGAGATCGGACGCTACCATCCCTCTGGAAGAAAATCTTGTCAATGCCCTCAGTTCCTGCAAGTCGTCACAACATATTAGAGATGGACAGGAGAAACCAAAACAGGTGAAATTAAAACAAGCCGAAGCTGCATGCGCCAAGTCTTGGTGGTTCAGACATGTACTAAGAAAAAATTGGAGGCATTAGTAAGGAGAGTAAATCAGATAGTACGAAGTCTCCTAAAAGAGTAAAGGATGACTGAAGAGAATACTTAATGAAGTGATTAAATAGGATCTTTTGATTAATTATATCTAAAAATTTTGTCATTGATAAAACACAATAATGTCATGCAATTCGTGCAATTAACCTCACCTAGTGGGATAAAGCTTGTTATTGTTATATCACTAATAGCTACACTATGGCCCTATTTCTTCAATGTATTCCTCACTTCTTTGATCTAGTCACCAACAATCCATCAACCAAAAAAGCCAAAATAAATTTTTATTGCCCATCAAATCCAGATTCCAGTCATAAAGATAATGATTGCCAATATTTCTAACTGTATGAAATCGTCGAGTAAGAATTTGCTCTTAAAAAATATAATTATGTAGTCAATATTTGACAGCATACCTAGGTTGCTTAATTGATCCATTGCAGACTGGCCAACAGAACCTTCCAACTTAAGGAGCCGTAGAATCCCAGCTGTTATCCGGCCCATTGAGTCAATTTCAGATTTGCACAGAAAAGCTAGGTGCTGAATCTCATCCTTGGTTACAGTCACCTCAATCTGCATAACAAATTCTCCGTCACACAAAACCTCAATTGGGGGCAAAACCAAAAAAAGAACAGCGACCATGTACGTGAAATATCACAATCCTATTACCGGTTGCTGAACAGAGAATTTTACGTTTTCCACTTTCCAGTTAGTCATTTCATCATCAACATAGTCCTCACATAGTACCAAGCGAACTTCAAGACCAGCTCCCCCAACTGTGTCAGTCGGCTGTTTAATCCCATTGGCAATTAACATGGATGAAGGAACGTCCTTCCGTGCATGGGGCTTGAAGATCTCCAGCCCTTGAATTCTAACCTACAAGCTCAGTTGCAGTAAGCACAAGGTTGGACCAAGCATGTCCTAATAATAGGCTCACAGAAATGAAAAATTAAAAAACAGCTAAAATCAATCAACAATGAGCCGCCCAAAAGTATGTTACCAGAAACAACCAATATTTACTTTCCATTGCCAAGTGTAAACGTCCAGTGTTTAGTTCACTATGCATTTCTTTTGTTGTTATTAGTAATTTGACCAATCCTAAATCTTCATATAATTTTTTGGGATGAAGTGATTCTTGAGATTGAGAAAGTATTGGAGCTTTTATAACCATGCGGTCAAAGTTACTCGCTGCCTTCATTCTAATAAGAACTTGTACATTTGGCTTTAAATGATCCTTGGTTAATATGTACAGACATCAGAATATACACACTAACTCGGGAAGAAAGCACTCTGAATTCACGCTAGTCCATTTTATCCAGTAATCCAAGCACAAAAACCTTTCAAAAGACTCCGACAACAAAGAAATCTAATATAGCACAGACCAACCACTAGTATAGGTGGCCAAAGGTTGTGTAATGCTAAGCTGTAAATACACCATTAACATTATAGAACACATTCAAATTAAAATTAAAATGCTGACCAGATTGCCAGTTACATTGATCGTCCTCAAAATCTTCCCCAAAGATTCTCATCAAAAGAAGGATATCACAAAACCAAGACAGGTGCCAATGACAAAGGGCAAAACCTAGTTCTCTAAGATAGATTGAGAATATGCAATACATACTTGACCATTTAGTCCTTTAATATAGGACGAGGTCTGGCAAAGACGATATAATGTTGAGGTGCATGCAAGCCTTAACATACATCATCGCCAACATGTAAAGCCCAAAAAAGAGTTTTCACATAGACTAGGAAGGAGGGGGGGGTAAAGAAAGAAAGAAAGAAAAAGAAAAGGAACTAAAATAATTCAACTTCAACCATGGAAACCTATCATGTTTTCCAAAGAGTTCATGCCACAGTCAGAACTAAAGATGTGGATCTTTCAGCAGAAAGTCTATATATCTCTGACAATGAATTATTTCTAATTCAGTTTAATTAATTAGAGGATTAAAATTCTTGTGATAGATATCATGAGTCACTTTGATCTGATTTTAGTAAAATTGTGTGATTAAGATCAAAGATTTCCTTGGGCTTATCTTCATTTCAATCTTCTTGCTCCTCAACTTCAGGTGTTCAACTTTAACCAATATGAGACATCAAAGTACAGCCTAACTTCATTCCTGAAAGCACTATGTGAAATCCGTAATCCCAATCCAGAGCAGAAAGAACTTTTTATTTACCGTGATCAGTTGTACAGGAAATTGTTGCATTCCATTCAATTGTGTTCTTCCATTAGAAACATCCTTTGGGCTGCTTTTCGCGTGAACTCGTAGGCTGTTGAAAGTTGTGTGCCAACACCTCTCAACTCTGCCTACGTCTTTATGGTTGGAGAACCAAAAACTTTCAGCCATCTCTTGAGCTCCTTCAAGAGCAAATAACCAGTCTCTCAATTCTACAGCAACATCCACATCATCTGGCTTCTTCAAATGTAAAAAGTTGGATTCCTTCCCTTCAATCACACTTCCATCTGTAGAAAACCGAAGCATTGATGAGAAGAAAATTACAAGCAGAGAAACAAACAAATAGGTAAAGAAGGTAAGCAGGGGGAAAAACTATGATGTATCAAGTAAACACAACTAAATACAAAATTCAGCACCATTTCATACCATCTCCCAGATTATCAACAACCAGAGGTCCTGTCTTAAAAAGGTTAGACAATGGTCCTGATTGTAAGTTTTCTAGCCCTTTACAAAGTCCCAATCCAGGGCGACCATCAGGTGCAAGTATTCCAAAGCGATGCAGCAGGGCCTCAGTATAGTTCATTCCTCCACCAAGGCGAACACCAGAAATAGAAGCTGAGACATTCAAACTATGTGACTCCATGTCTTGTTCATTTAGTGGAATGACATGATCCATCCGTATATCTAGAAAAGGAAATGAGACGGCATTTCCATTTGATTGATTCTTCCTCTTGTTATTAATCCAAAATACAGCTCTTAATTGAGGATATCCATAACTACTCATTGAGGGAATACTTTCAACAGAATTCAACATTGAGTCATTTCCATGTGCCAGGTGCACCTCAGCATCCACACAATCTATCTCAACACTGTGCCAACATAAAGCGGATGATACAACAACAGCACCACCAAGGGTTCTATGGGTGGCACTAATGAACAGATCATCTCCAATAAACTGCACTAAAGGCATTTCATCAACATTCATTAAAGAAGATTCCAGAAATCGAAGTTGGAGGTCTTTCACTGCTAAACTTACAGCAGTGTCACTAGGAACCTTATCAATAAACTTTACAC